TTCATTCAACAAACATTCCCTGAGCACTTATTATATACAAGGCACTGTGCTAGGGAATATGGAGACAAGATGAAAATATTTTGTCAGCCTTCCAAAAACTCAGACTAGCGGAAAAACAGATATACAGCAGTAATTAGGATATGATGTGAGCAATGTTAAAACTGCTGATAGATATAAAGTGCTCTGGGAGCATAAAGAAAGTGATCATCTGCCTTAAGGCTAGTCTGCAGAAGTGGAGGGCCAGATGAATTCCAGGAAGAATGTGTGTAGAAGCATGAAAGGGATGCTTAAAATGAGCTTTGGCACTGCATATGGTTAAAAATAGCAGATACGGGGAGAGTGGCAAGAGATTCGGCTAGAAAGGTAAGTTAGAGGCAGATTGTGAAAGATTTTGTGAACGTTTGGGGGTTTAAACTTGATTCCCTATGCCAGTGGTTTTGGCTTGTCAGAAACACAAATTCTTGGTTCTCACCCTAGACCTACTGAATCAGAAATTCTGGGATTGGGGCCCAGCCATCTGTTTTAACAAGTCTTCCAGGTGATTCTGATCCACACTAAACTTTGAGAACCACTGCTGCAGGCAATAGGAAACCACTTAAGGGTTTTTCTTTTTTAAATATAGGGACGAGGTCTCCCTATGTTGCCCAGGCTGGTCTTGAACTCCTGGCCTCAAGCAACCTTCCTGCCTTGGCCTCCCAAAGCACTGGGGTTACAAGTGTAACCTACAATTGTCCCTGGCCTTAAGGATTTTAAGCACGGAACTGACCAATTAAGATTTGAAGTTGGAGAGGGGTTGCCATGGACCATTCAAGCACAACACCTGACTCCTGAGTAGTTACCATAAAAAAAAAAAAAAAAAAAAAAACTGTTGAATGAATGTGGCAGGAAGAAATGATGAGGGCCTAGGCTAAGGCTGCAGGAATGCAGAAGAAACAGATTTTAGAGATGTTTTACATGTGACCCAATTCAACCAGGTGACTAGGATATATCCATACAAAGGTATGACTGAAATGGTTTTTATATAAAAGAAACCTGTAATGATGTGGAATATATTGACTGCTAGGCTTGAAAATGTGGTCCTCATAGAACCTGGAAAAACGGGAGGTCAAGAGCAACTTCTTTGTGTTTCCATATAGTCAACAGCAAAGTTTGCCTTGGCTTGTACATGAGTCTTCTGGTCTGTTTGGCAGTTCTCACTGAGTTAGCAAATTGCCATTCATGCTCATAGAAATCTTTTGAGTTTGGTTGGTGTGAATCAATCAGCGAGACTGACAATTTCTGGATATGCCAATGAAATTTTGAACCTGGAAAAGCTGAAAACCAGACATTGGTTCTGGTGATCTAACCAAGATACTGCTAAATTAAGACACTGCTAGAGCCTTCCTTTTTTAAAAAATTCTAACTTCACCATTAATAACATAGTCTGCCTAATTCAGGAAGAAGCTGGAATGAGTAAAAGAATCAGACTTTGTTCTCTGCCCTGAAGGTCAAGAAAGTCAACTGAAGCTGTTATTTCTAATTTTGGAGGCAGGATTTAGCTGAGGCCATCTTCAATTTCCCAATGAAGAGGTATAGGTCAACCTATATGGTTGATATACCTAATGAGAATTTTGCAGGGTGCAATTCCTATTTTTCTTTTCTTTTCGAGACAGAGTTTCACTCTTGTTGCCCAGACTGGAGTGCAGTGGTACCATCTCGGCTCACCACAACCTCTGCCTCCCGGATTCGAGTGATTTGCCTGCCTCCATCTCCTGAGTAGCTGGGACTACAGGTACGCGCCACCATGCCTGGCTAATTTTGTATTTTTAGTAGAGACAGGGTTTCTCCATGTTGGTCAGGCTGGTCTCGAACTCCCAACCTCAGGTGATCCGCCCACCTCGGCCTCCCAAAGTTCTGGGATTACAGGCGCCTGCCACCATGCCCAGCTAATTTTTCTATTTTTAGTAGAGACGAGGTCTTGAACTCCCTCAGATGATCCACCTGCCTCAGCCTCCCAGAGTGCTGGGATTACAGGTGTGAGCCACCACTCCCAGCCTTTTTTTCCTTTTTGAGACAGGGTCTCCCTCTGTCACCCAGGCTGGAGTGCAGTGGCATGGCCTCAGCTTAACCCCTCCTGGGTTCAAGCGATCTTCGCACCTCAACCTCTCGAGTAGCTGGGACCACAGGTGCCAAGCCACTATGCCCAGCTAATTAAAAAAAAAATTGGCCAGGTGCGATGGCTCACGCCTGTAATCCCAGCACTTTGGGAGGCCGAGGCGGGTGGATCATGAGGTCAGGAGATTGAGACCATCCTGGCTAACACGGTGAAACCCCGTCTCTACTAAAAATACAAAAAATTAGCCAGGCGTGGTGGCAGGCGCCTGTAGTCCCAGCTACTCGGGAGGCTGAGGCAGGAGAATGGCGTGAACCCAGGAGGCAGAGTTTGCAGTGAGCTGAGATCGTGCCACTGCACACTCCAGCCTGGGTTTTGGCCAGGCACGGTGGCTCATGCCTGTAATCCCAGCACTTTGGGAGGCCGAGGTGGGCAGATCACCTGAGGTCAGGAGTTCAAGACCAGCCTGGCCAACATTGGGAAACCATGTCTCCACTAAAAATACAAAATAAAGTTGGCTGGGCATGGTGGCTCACACCTGTAATCATAGCACTTTGGGAGGCCAAGGTGGGCGGATCACTTGAGGTCAGGAGTTCGAGACCAGCCTGGTCGACATGGTGAAACCCTGTCTCCACTAAACACACAAAAATCAGCTGGGTGGCCAGGCACAGTGGCTCACGCCTGTAATCCCAGCACCTTGGGAGGCCAAGGCAGGTGGATCACGAGGTCAAGAGATCGAGACCATCCTGGCCAACATGGTGAAACCCTGTCTCTACTAAAAATAGAAAAAATTAGCCGGATGTGGTGGCGGGCGCCTGTAGTCCCAGTTACTCGGGAGGCTGAGGCAGGAGAATCACTTGAACCCGGGAGGCGGAGGTTGCAGTGAGCCGAGATTGTGCCACTGCACTCCAGCCTGGCAACAGAGTGAGACTCCATCTCCAAAAAAAATAAAAATAAAAAAAATAAAAAACTTAGCTGGGCATGGTAGTGCACTCCTGTAATCCCAGCTACTCGGGAGGCTGAGGTGGGAGATCGCTTGAGCCCACGAGGCAAGGGTTGCAGTGAGCTGAGATTGCACCACTGCACTATAGCCTGGGCGACAGAGCAAGACCCTGTCTCAAAAAATATATATGTTTTTGTAGACATGTAAAATGTCTACATATTCCATTTTAAACTTCTTTAAAAATAGAAAAAGAATAGTAGCCAATTACTTTATTGGCCTATTAGGGAATGGAATCGCTTCTCTGATCATTTCTTAACTGTTAGTTTTCAGAAAATGGAGTTAAATGTAAAAGCTCTCTAAGAAAAAAAAAATAAAACACTTGGGAAGCAAATGTACATAAACAATTGAAGGAAAAAGCATGCATTGTTTTACAGGGTATTTGTTTTATTGTCTATTTTTGCCTATAAAGGAGTAACTTTATACTGAATATTGTCCATTACATTTAATTATATATTATTAATACATGTGTGGAGAATCTATCACAGCTATCCCTTACTAAGTTGAAAACTTCCAAAATTTCAACTCTCCTGGTATTTAGGTATACCTGTTGTTTTAAGAGTTCAAGAAACGCTTCAGAAACTAGTTTAATCTCGCATCCTGATTGGGTATGTAGACGTGAACAACTTGAAAGACACATTTGGCCCTGTTTCCTGTTTTCCAAACTTCCCACTACCAACTATAAGTATAATCTAAAAGTTGGTATCCACTCCGTATTCAATATCCTGTATATAGTCTTTTCTAAGCAAAGAGATTTTCCAGTATTCAGAGGAAGTGTGGACAAGATATTCACCAAGAATATTAAATCCCACGTGTGCCTTGCCTGAAAAAGTAGACTTTCCCCTTTCTGTCTGGAATTCACATTAAGAACAGGACTGCTTTTTAGGCAAGATCCAAAGGACCCAATTTTTCACGTTTGAGTCCTCTTCTTATCTCCCTCAAAGGTCAATTTTCACTTAGTATTTGTCCTCTCGTTCCCCGACGTGAGATCTCTCAGATTCTACTGGGGCAGATCTGCTACTTCAGCCAGAGAGGGCAGATGTCAATTACTTTCCTTCAAAGCGGGAAACTGCAGAACATTGATTAAGGGCAGGAGGGCTGGAGAGGGAGTACAAAATGGACTGTCCTAAGACTTCAGCTCCACCTGATTGGGGCCCAGCCTTCCCAGCCCTCGTCCCCACACCGGCCGCTCCATGTGAAACCGGTCATGTGAGCCTGTTTACAGCAGAGCAGCTGGTGCAACCATCAGGATCCGTGCAGAGGTCCAGGGAAGTCGAAGGAAACAGGCCACGCACCCCCTACACCCTACTCCATTATTCCAAGAAGGCGTTCGCTCTCCCTCCCCGCCTCTCCACCCTACTTTCATCTCCCTCCAGGCAAAGACAGCACAGCTGAGGCTATCCCGGGACGCCTCGCTCCAGCCCTGCCGATTTCCTTCCAGTTGCTCGCTGGGGCGACCGGCTGAGCTGGAGGAAGGGCGAGGACGGTGTCACCCCAAACGGGGAGTCAACTTCCCTCCCCCAGCCCTCCTCGCTGCGTCCACCGAAGAGTTGTCCCTAGAGCCGCATCCCCTGGGCAACTGAACTCCGCCGGGCAGGCACCGAGAGGCTCCCGAGCCTGCCTTTGCCCGGGCAGGAGCGAGCCACACATCAGCTGGCCAGACCCCGGGGTCGGGCGCCGAGGGCGGCGGAGCCACTGCCAGTCACACACCGGACAGGAAAGGATCCCCTCTGTCTCCTCCCCGCCGCCCACCCGCATCTCGGCGCAGCGGAGCCCCGCTGTCAATCTCAGAGCCAACCTCCGGCTGTGGGGATGGGTCATTCTTTGGCGGGGGGCTCTCAGCCACGTAACTTCCACATTTTCCCGAAGTGAGAGGAAGTGGGTGACGGGACGGTGGGGGACTCTCACCTCGGCAACACCGGCTTCCTCGGAAAGCAGCTGCGACTGCTCCTCCGCTCCTTTGTCAGCGTCTCTAGGCTGCACTGCCTGCTGGGATACCGGAGGACTCAAATGCCACCTCTCTCCGCCCTCGAGGATGAGCCGCGACTTGGGGGTGGGAGGTGGGAGGAAGAAGAGGTGGAGCTGGGGGCGGGGCCGGAGCCTGGGGCGGGGCTCTGGCCTTGCCACCTGGCCTCTTGGGGTTTCTTTCTTCATGCTCTAAACTTCTTCCTTCTCTGTCCTCGGATCTGCCCCTCCTCTCCCGCCTTCCCCTGAAGAGACAGACTGGAGGCTCTCACAGAGGGCCACCTCTCTCTGCGCTCGTTAGGCAGTCCCTCTTGCCTGCTGTCCTGTCTCATTCTCCTGCACACACGCACCCAGTGAGTACTCAAGGCTACTGGCTTCTATTCATACTTCTGAGACATGTCTTGTTGACTGCCTCTGGCTCCACCCTATCCTCAGAACCTGTTTAGGCCCCATGACTTTTTGCTTGGACTCCTTCAGTAGCCTCCTGTTTGGACTCTGCTTCCACTCTTACCTCAGTCTAAACCATCTCCCAGAAAGCAGCCAGAGGGATCGATCTAAGATGTACACATGACCACGTTACTTTTCTCCTTGAAACCTTTCAGTCTCAACAGTACCAACAACACCTTAGCATGGTATATAAAGTGGGCCAAGGCAGGCGGGTCCCTTGAGGTCAGGAGTTCGAGACCAGCCTGGGCAACATGCTGAAACTTCATCTCTACTAACCACAAAAATTAGCCAGGCACCATGGCTCACGCCTGTAATTCCAGCACTTTGGGAGGCCGAGGTGGGCAGGTCACTTGAAGCCAGGAGTTCGAGACCAGCGTGGCCAACATGGCAAAACCCATCTCTACTAAATAAACAAAAATTAGCCAGGTGTGGTGGTGCATGCCTGTAGTCCCAGCTACTCTGGAGGCTGAGGCACGAGAATCGCTTGAATCTGGGAGGTCCGAGGCTGCAGTGAGTCAATATCATTGTGCCACTGCACTCCAGCCTGGGTGACAGAGTCAGATGCTCTCTCAATAAAACAAAAAAAAACAAAAAAACATAGAGGTTGTACATATTTTTGGAGTTCAGGTGATACTTTGATATCTTCATATAATGTGTAAAAATCAAATCAGAGTAATTGGGATACCCATCACCTCAGAAGTTTGTCTTTTCTGGCTGGGCACGGTGGCTCAAGCCTGTAATCCCAACACTCTGGGAGCTGAGGCGGGCGGATCACAAGGTCAGGAGATTGAGACCATCCTGGCTAACACAGTGAAACCCCGTCTCTACTAAAAAATACAAAAAAATTAGCTAGGCGTGGTGGCAGGTGCCTGTAGTCCTAGCTACTCGGGGGGGAGGGGGGGGGGGGGGAAGCTGGGGGAGGGCGGAAGGTCAGAGAGAGATGCACATAAGCTACTAAAAAAAAAAAAAGCGGGAGTGGCGGTGCTGAGTCCAGCTACTCGGAGGCTGAGCAGAGAATGGCGTAACCCGGGGGGAGCTTGCAGTGAGCCGAGATCCGGCCAAAGCAACTGTCCAAAAAAAAAAAAAAAAAAAAGAGAATGGTGTGAACCCGGGAGGTGGAGCTTGCAGTGAGCCGAGATTGCGCCACTGCATTCCAGCCTGGGCCACAGAGTGAAACTCTGTCTCAAAAAAAAAAAAAAAAAAAAAGTTTGTCTTTTCTTCTTTTCTTTATACTGAGAACATTCAAATTTTTCTATTCTACATATTTTGAAATATACAATAAATTACTATAAACTATAATTACCATACTGAAGTATCAAATACTAGCTCTCATTCCTTCTGAAACTATGAAACTACTAGAAAAACATATTGGGGAAATGCTTCAGGACAGGGCAAAGATTTTTTGGGTAAGACTGCAAAAGCACGGGCAACAAAAGCAGAAATAGACAAATGGGATTACATCAAGCTAGAAAGCTTCTGTACAGCAAAGGAAACATTCAACAAAGAGAAGAGACAATCTACAGAATGAGAAAAGATATTTGGGATCTTGGCTCACTGCAACCTCAACCTTCTGGGCTCAAACCGTCTTCCCACTTCAGCCTCCCGAGTAGCTGGGACTATAGGCACTAATTTTTGCATTTTCAGTGGGGACGGGGTTCCCCCATGTTGGCCAGGCTGATCTTGAACTCCTGGCCTCATGTGATCCACCCGCCTTGACCTCCCAAAGTGCTGAGATTACAGGCGTGAGGTACCACTCCTGGCCTGGAGGTCATTATCTTAAGTGAAATCAGCCAAGGACAGAAAGACAAATATTCAATGCTCTCACTCATTGTGGGTGTAAAATGTGGATCTCATAAAGATAGAGAGTAGATTGGTAGTTATTAGAGGCTGGGAAGGGGAGGGGAGAAGGGGGGCATTGAAGAGAGGTTGATGAATGGGTAGAAATATTTTCTCCCATTCTGTAGATTGTCTCTTCACTTTGTTGAATGTTTCCTTTGCTGTACAGAAGCTCTTAAGCTTGATGTAATCCATTTATCTATTTTTGCTTTTGTTGCCTGTGCTTTTGCAATCTTACTCAAAAAAATCTTTGCCTTGAAGCATTTCTCCAATATGGTTTTTTTTGTTGTTTTGTTTTGTTTTGTTTTGTTTTTTTGAGACAGAGTCTTGCTCTGTTGCCCAGGCTGGAGTGCAATGGCGCGATCTCAGCTTACTGCAACTTCCACCTCCCAGGTTGAAGCAATTCTCCCGCCTCAGTCTCCCAAGTAGCTGGGATTACAGGCGCCCATCACCACACCCGGCTAATTTTTGTATTTTTTTTTAAATAGAGATGGGGTTTCACCATGTTGATCAGGCTGGTCTTGAACTCCTGACCTCAAGGGATCCACCCGCCTCAGCCTCCCAAAGTGCAGGGATTACAGGCGTGAGCCACCACGCCCAGCCTCCAATATGTTTTTCTAGTGGTTTCATAGTTTCCGGTCTTAGATTTAAGTCTTTATTTTGATTTGATTTTTGTGTGTGGTGAGAGATAGGGGTCTAGTTTCATTCTTCTGCATGTGGATATCCAGTTTTCCCAGCACCATTTATTGAAGAGGCTGTTCTTTCCCCAAGGTATGTTCTTGGGACCTTTTTTCAAAAATGAATTGGCTGTAAATGCGTGGACTTTTTCCAGGGTTCTCTATTCTGTTCCATTGGTCTACAGGTCTGTATTTATGCTGGCAGCATACTGTTTTGGTTACTATGGCTTTGTAACCAAAGTGTATTTTGAAGTAAGGCAGTGTGATGCCTCCAGCTTTGTTCTTTTTGCTCAGGATCTCTGCAACCTCTTCTTTTTTTAAAAAAATGTGGAATGCTTCATGAATCTGTTTGTCATCCTTGTGCAGGGGTCCATGCTAATCTTCTCTGTGTTGTTCCTTTTTTTAGTATATGTGCTGCCAAAGAAAGTACTGCAATCCTCTTCTGATGTACCCTATACTCTAGCCCAATACATTTGGCTATCCGTGGAAGACAGCAGGGTCTGGGACAACTCAACCAGCACTGGCTACCTCAAATACTCTCCCTTGAAAGGAGGCCACACTATCAGTAACTTCCATAGGCCCCTTGGAGTATAATTAAAGATACAGTTTTCAAAATTAAATTGTATTGATGTTTAGAGGAAGAGTAAGGTGAAATGTTGACCGATCCCCTCTCCATAAGAAAAAGGCCCAAAGAATTTTCCCCAGTTGCCCCACCTAGGCTGCCAGTAGATCTTCCTTAAGCTCATGCCTCTGATAACGTTGTTCACAGATTTCCTCAATTTATAATGCCCTTCTCTGTCTTTGGAATACCTACTTATCTTTCAAGGCCCAGTGGAAATGCTCCTTCCTCCACTAACCTTCCAGGATCTTCCATGAGAACTATTAACTCCTGCTCCATCACCATAGAATGTTGCTTATTCTGCTTTACAATTCATCTTAACTTAGGTAATCACGAGCCACATGTATATCTTCCTTTCTCTCCTACCTAGACTATGAATTCTTCAGGCTGCCAGCACAAGGCCTGATCCAGAAATGACGTTAATACCATTTGATGAAATAAAATCTCCATTGCATCTGAAGCCCTAAGTAGGCCCAGAAAGGACCCTAGGCAAGGCCTCATACAACCACCATCCACCCTTCCCTAGGACATCTCCAACTTAACCTGGCCACGTGTCGCTTTTGCAAATACAAACTGGTTAGGCAGCAGGGCATTACAAAAGGACCAATGCTTGTACTTGCCTTGCAGGTCAGACTGGTTTGTGGTATAATATGTGGTTGTGGAAAATGTAACTGGTACAGCTCACATAAGAATCCAGTATAGAAGGCCAGGCACAGTGGCTGACGCCTGTAATCCCAGCACTTTGGGAGGCCCAGGTGAGCAGATCACCTAAGGTCAGGAGTTCAAGACCAGCTGGCCAACATGGTGAAACCCTGTCTCTACTAAAAATACAAAAATTAGCCAGGCCTGGTGGCGGGTGCCTATAATCCCAGCTACTCGGGAGGCTGAGGCAGGATAATTGCTTGAACCTGGGAGGCAGAGGTTGCAGTGAGCCGATATCCTGCCATTGCACTCCAGCCCGGGCGACAGAGTGAGACTCCGTCTCAAAAAAACAAAACAAAACAACAACAAAAAAGAATCCAGTATAGAAAAATTGTATGGTGCCATGAAAAACAACTGAATTTCCAAAAGGAGACACATCTCCCACCTCTGGGAGGCTTTTGACTCCTATTTGCTTTAGACTACCCTTGGACTTGATATCTCTTCAGATCTTATAAATTGGAAGATTTCTTCTTTTGCAAAAGTGGGCATCTTGTTTTGTGTTGTTCTTGCGTCATTTATGATACATTTGCTTTCTTTCCAGTTATATCACAAGTTACACTCTGGCAGGGTTTCCTCATTCCTAAAATGGAGACAAGAATCTTTGGCCTACACAGTTTACCAGGCTCTTAGGAGGTTCTAATGCGGTAATGTATATGGAATAGGTCAGTGGTCCCCAACCTTTTTTGGCACCAGTGACTGGTTTTGTGGAAGCAAATTTTTCCATGGATGGGGGTGGGGGATGGTTTTGGGATGGAACTGCTCCACCTCAGATCATCAGGCATTAGATTCTCATAAGGAACGTGCAACCTAGATCCATCCCATGCGCAGTTCACAATACAGTTCGCATTCCTATGAGAATCTAATGCCCCCATTGATCTGACAGGAGGCAGAGCTCAGCTATAATGCTTGCCCATCCATGGCTCAACTCCTGCTGTTCAGTCTAGTTCTTAACAGGCCAGGGACCAGTAATAATGTAAACCACAAGATGTTCTTCAAACATAAGTTCTGTTTTATTATTATGTTTTTAATAATCTTGACACTGTATTACTTAGATATGTGTGTTTGGGATGCCACTTGTGGGAATCAAAGGCTTTATTGCAAATGACTATGGATAATGCTTTAGATCATAGTTTCCCAAATTTGCCCGAGGTTAAGAATTACCTGGAGCCTGCCTGGGCACGGTGGTTCACGCCTGTAATCCCAACAATTTGGGAGGCTGAGGCAGGCCGATCACTTGGGGTCAGGAGTTCGAGACCAGCCTGACCAGCATGGCGAAACCCCATCTCTACTAAGAATACAAAAATTAGCCAGGCATGGTGGCAGGTGCCTCTAATCCCAGCTACTCGGGAGGCTGAGGCATGAGAATCACTTGAACCCAGGAGGCGGAGGTTGCAGTGAGCTGAGGTTGTGCCACTGCACTCCAGCCTGGGTGACAAAAGCAAAAAACTCTGTCTCAAAAAAAAAAAAAAAAAATTACCTGGAGACCTTGTTAAAAACAGATTCCAAGACCTATCCCAGACATACTGAATACCAATTTCCAGGAGAAAGACAAGATTAAAAGTACAGTTAGGAATGAGACCAGGTGATTCTTATCCTCAAGCAAATCTGGGAAACACTGTCATCTGGGAGATAATGTCAATGACATTACCAGTCATTCACGTATCAGAATGGATTAGTTTAGGATTCTTTCTGGGAGAGGCCTTTCAGACAAGGAGAAATCAAAACTGTGGAACAGAGCTTGGAAGGAGGCTCCAGCAGGGCCAAACTTCCCTTACAATTGTGCCTGCAGCTAGTATATGCAAAACCTTCCCCTGGAATTTCCTTGTCTTCGCCCCAAGCTCTTAGAACTGGTTGCAGGAACTAGGTGACTTGAAGATAATATCATTTACCATCTGAAGTCAAAGTGTTAAAACAGGGACCTTTACTGTCTCAACTAATTGGTGATGTTTCAGAAATTTCTTAGTGCCACAGTGGCTTTATTCAACCAGTGCTCCCACTAGATCCCTCTCTCCAGAGTTCTCCCAGCTCCCTGGGCAGACCTCTTTCATAGCACTTAAACACTGTGCTGTCATTGTTTTCTTTCTTTCCTTCTTTCCTTCCTTCCTTCCTTTCTTCCTTCCTCCCTTCCCTCCTTCCCTCCTTTCTTTCTCCTTCCTTCCTTCCTTCCCTCCTTCCTTCCTTCCTTCTTTCTCTCTTTCTCTCTTTCTTTCCTTTTGATGGAGTCTCGCTCTGTCGCCCAGGCTGGAGTGCAGTGGTGCAATCTCGGCTCACTGCAACCTCTGTCTCCCAGGTTCAAGTGATTCTCCTGCCTCAGCCTCCCGAGTAGCTGAGACTACAGGTGTGCGCCACTGCACCTGGCTAAATTTTGTGTTTTTAGTAGAGACGGGGTTTCACCATATTGGTCAGACTGGTCTTGAACTCCTGAGCTCATGATCCGCCCACCTCAGCCTCCCAAAGTGCTGGGATTACAGGCGTGAGCCATGGTGCCCGGCCAACTGTCATTGTTTTCCTGTTTGCCTCTTAAGTAGTAAGAGCTGGAGTTGGTCTTATCCACCAACATAAGCACCTACAATATAGCAAGCACAATGTGAGGCCCAGGGGATGCAAAGGTGAAATTGTCTGTTTACTCCGTGCCTCACCTAGTTGACTGGAAACTTATTGAGGGCAGTCATTGTTCAACTCTGTATCCATCCTTATGTGCTAGTCTCGTGCCACGCACAGAGTCATCCATCAGGAAATATTTGTTAAAGAGTGAATGGGGCGGGGCAGGTAGCTCACACCTGTAATCCCAGCACTTTGGGAGGCTGAGGTGGGTGGATCAGTTGAGGTCAGGAGTTTGAGACCAGCCTGGCCAACGTGGTGAAACCCCGTCTCGACTAAAAATACAAAAAAAAAAAAAAAAAAAAAAATTTGGCAGGTGTGGTGGTGAGCACCCTGTAGTCCCAGCTACTCAGGAGGCTGAGGCAGAAGAATTGCTTGAACCCAGGACGGGGAGGTTGCAGTGAGCCAAGATCACACCACTGCCCTCCAGCCTGGGCAACAGAGCAAGACTTTGTCTCAAAACAAACAAACAAACAAACAAAAAGGGTGAATGGTCTCCCCTTTGGTAAAGCCTATGTTAGTTACTTCAGGAAAGATGCAGAGTCCGCTAGGCATTGGCACTGGCAGTCTTGGGATTAGGACTCAGTGAGAGCCTACTGTTCATAGCCTTTATATAGGTGTGCTATTTTTAGCTGAGGTGAGTTTGAGAGGGGCCTTATGAGAGGAGTGGGGAATATTGCCTAGTTCTCCCATTACGTTGAGGCAAGGGCTGGAGACCAAAAGATGTGGCTAAAACAGGGAACGCCAACAAGGCTTCGGCTGCATTCTCATTAGCTGACAATCCAGACGCATGGTCAATCCAGCCATAAAAAGGTATTAAAAACCACACCTTTAATTCTGGATGTTCAGACATGTTGCATTGCCAGTCCATTTTGGTAGCCTTTGCCCAGAGTTCCTCTCCTGTTCTTTCTTGCCATAGCTCATTTTGGAAAAAAATTAAGGAACAGGAATAATAATTGCAGTCATTCAGTGGCAAAGCAGACAATAGAGACCCGTTTTAATTCCCTAGAGCACTTTTTGCAAAAGTAGGAACTGATTTCCACTGTTGCACTAACTAGCTGTACCTTTCTTCTTCCTGGACCTTGAAATTCACTTCATACAGTGAAGTTGCTGGGCTAGAATGAGTTTGTGACAGGCCTGGCCAAAAATTTCTGTTCAAGGTCCTGGAACTAGCCTTTCTTCTGTCTTGATTCCTTGTGCAAGTTTATAGAATCAAACCACAGAGAAACTGTTCTGTATTTGTCATCACTCCTACCCCATGACCCATATAAGTTAAATAAAAATGACTAAATTACCAGTTAATCAAGAACCCTTGAATTGCCTGCTAGATGTCAACACTATGTATGAATGACTTTGTTTTATTCTTTAAATAGTGGGAGCATTTTCCATGCTCCAGAGCTTGGAGTGGCCTCAGGGATGCCAAGAGCCCTGTGACTTACTGAGCCTGTGGGCAGAGCTAAGGATAGTTTTTCACCTTCTGTGGTAGCAACCAGGGCACCTGTACTCTG